GGAGGGTGCTGCTCTGTCTAGTCATCCCTGCCGCAATCCTGGTTTTTATGCTCTCCAGTGGGAGTGGTAACCCAAGATGGAGGTGCCGACTATTTCCCTACTAGGCCACTCCCACGCCCAGATCATGCACTCTCCAGGTGGTTCTGCGGTTTAACTTGCCAGAATTAGCCCCCATTGCCAGCCTCTGCCAGCTGATGTTGCGCCAAAGCCCAACCAACCCTCACCCATTCTAATTTATGCTTGGACCAGTCGGAATAGTCAGCCCAATCTGGCTCTTCCCCAATCTAGCTCACATGAAGCCCACAGGTATTGTAGCCCTGCCTGGTCTGTTCTGTCCCATCCCAGCTCACACTCTCCAGTGGGAGTGACTGTCCAGCAGGGGAGCTCTCCACTTTCTACTTACCAGCTTAGCCCCCTCCCTCCTGGTTCTCAAGTGTGATGGTTGGGTGCTGCCGCCCAGTCTGGTACAGCCCGCCTCACCGTGGCATTTGCCAGTGGGTATTATAGCCTGGCCGGGCCCGGCCCACCCCCAATTCCAGCTGATGCTGGTGAGGCTTATAGCCTAGCCCAGCCCAGCAGGCATCCAATCCCAGTCCTAAGGTGCACTGGCATGTGTTCTGACCATACCTGGCCCGACTCTGTAGTGGTGCTCAGATGTGCCAGCGGGTGTTGTTAACTGGTTCAACCTGGTCTGCTCCTGACCTATGCCAAATATATGCCAGTGGGTTCCTTTCCCTGGCCTCGTCTGGGCTACTCCCTATCATGGAATACATATCTTGTTAATGAAAGTCTATTTTGAGACTTTTGGGGTTGAATTTTCCAGAATTTAGAAATCCTGTCCAGAGGATATGTACATAAAGAGGAAGTAGCTGTCAGACATAAAGCTAATAATGATAACAGAGGTGTCTCCACTGATGCTCGGCTCCTTGCGCAGGTGGTGGAGCCAAAGCAGTCTTCTCTTAGCATTGTTTTGGAACTTCTAATCCTGAGGAAAATTTTCTGAAATAGTAATTATTCTAGGAAGACTTGATCTCTGTATTTAAAGGTTGAATCTGAATGACACATATTGACCAAATCCACTTCCAGAGGTCAGAAACAGTGTCACACGAGGTTCAGTAAGCTCTAATTCCTTTCTGCTTCCTGCATGGAAGGCCACTTTCTTCCTTTCTTTCAAGAGAAAGAAGAAAAAGTTTTTCTTCTTTCTCTTGAAAGATAGAAAGAAGATTTTTCTATCAAACACAACTACCATGGGTAATAATTTCAAAAATAATAATAATAAAAAACTAGGTGTTCACAGCCTATTCAGCACTGCTCTAACCTTGGGTAAAAAGGTTCTGCAGAATAGCAGTAAAGAAGCCCATTATAATTTCAAATGGACAGAAGAGGAATTCAATCAACGTGGTAAAGACTCAACTTTTAGGAAGAAGAGAACATCTTAAAGCGGTGCCCTGTTGGATTAAGTAGAGGTCATTTTTAACTCTGTTCTAAAGCCATATACTGTTACATGAGAGAAATAAATATACATGGTACAAAGACAATATTAAATCAGAAGGACAAGAAATCAGAGAAGTTTCCTTAGTTTCAAGAGACAGAAATTAAGTAGCAGCCTTGAGTTTGCTTGCCTTTTTACACATTTAGACAAATTAAGAATTAGAAATACAAATAGCTTCGGCATTGTCCTCATCCAGCATTTAGTTTTTAGTTAATAATAATAGTTAAGATTGACACTTAGTACTTAACTAGTCAGTAGTAACCGTCCTTGACATCTTCCCTATATTCAGGCTAACATGCTAATTACAGGGATGGTCCTTCAGCCACTGACTAAATTTTTGTGTTGGACCTCAATTCAACAAAAAAGAGAGATACTGAACACTACCATTTTCACAAGAATGTTATAAAGAAACAGAAGGTGATTGTTTGTTTGTTTGTTTGTTTGTTTTATTTATTTGCATTGTTAAAATGTAGCTTTTACCCTTTGTAGTGACAGAACCAAAACTAGACCACATTTCCATCTTTACTAGAATATCAAGATTATTGGGGATACCAGTATATAAAATGTAAAGCAGGCAGGCTAAGGAAGACATATTAAAGTTTTTATTTTAGCCACTTTAAACAGAGTATGTCTATTTAACTCATCTTAGTTTTTCTAAACAGCTGCTACTTAGGCATAAGTAAAATGTATCAATAAGTGAGTAGCATTGGTTGATGTGAAAACAGGTAGGGAACACAATAAAACATTGAGTTTATGCAGGCTATGGAAAGGTGGGAGTGTTTTTAGGAAGAGCAATAAGCTTGTTTCTTTCAACTTCATCAATATTCCTTCAGAATAGTTAAAAATAATACATTAGTTGCTACCTTTACCATTGACATATGTGGAATATTAAAGCTCAAAGGGAATCAAGAAATCATTTATTACCTATTGCATACTTTGGGGATGGAAACATGTTTCAGTAAAAAGGGTGACTTGAGCACAATGACTTGGAGGTTTAACGGAAGGAACGCAGAATGAAGCTATCTTTAAACATGTAACAGTCTAAAATGTTTAAGGCTTGACATGAAGTTACACTTTTCAAGAATTATGAAATTCAAATTCCCATTCTTGGGATTTTATTTATTTCCACAACTTTCATAAATAAAATGCCAATGGAGACACATGGGGGAATTTTATAGCCTTCTTCATTCAAAAATTTCATGGTTTTAGTAACTTGTTTTACTGTTTAATCACATAATTTATATGTAAACTTATAAATGCAACTAAGCTTATTATACATAGATAAATTAGTTTAGGTGTAAGGCAATATTCTTATACAAGAAAGTAAATATCTTAGATAAATATTCTAGCTATGGGACCAATGGTGGCTTCTCATTCATGAACTAAAAATCTACCCAACTGTGATAGTGCCATGCTTGATACCCCGGAGGCTGTCCACAACTGCAACACTGATAGCAAAGGGGGAACAGGAATGGCTCCTCAGTTCCCTACTAGCCAGTACAGACATCCCATCCAATGAACTATCAAGTGGTCAATATTTTGGAAATAAAGGGGAAAAAAAGACTAATTAATGGGAAGAACATGTAGAGAAAGGGAAAAGGGAAGTAGAATAATTGCCCCATGTGTCTGCATGTGCCCACTCCCAACGTCAGAGCCACAGGACAGGATCTCTTAGAAATATATTAATATTCCTCTTTCCTTCATTCAAAATAAGGTCAGTCACATGTCAAGAGGCCTAGGAATCATTTAAAACATGTCAGAATAAAAATGCTTAAATTTGACTTCTTTTCAATTATATAATTTTTTAAAAACTATATTCAAAATAAGATTTTGAAATGTTGACAGGTTCAGTTTAGTTTTTGGATGTCATAACTAAGAAGTAAGACAGCAATGTTCTGCAGTTGTCTTCAGTCAAGTGAACAAGATTTTGGCGGCATCTGATTGTGCTATTTTATCATGTAATATTCTTATCCAGTCACATGCTATGCAAAAATGTATATGACTAAGTAACTCTCCACTTAACAACTGGGTAAACTCATATATAGTTATAGAACAAATGCCTATGCTACCAAATAAATTCAGGTGGGACCTGAAGAATGCTTTCAAAATAATTGCGTTTGTTACGAGACCAAATATTGAAATATGTCAGTCCCCAACAAGCTTGTCTTTGGATGTACATGCATTTAACCAGGCTTGTTCAGGTTGTGAGGTTCGGGGACGATACAACAGACAGGGAAAACCTTGGGTTTTGCATCTCAAACAGAGATGAGACGACCGGGGGCCAGCTGTTCTTTCGGTCATCCTCCTTTGAACCGTGTTACAAAACTGGACAGACTGTTATTTCAAGATGTGATTCCTAACAGTTATGATCTGAGAGAAAGGTATTTCCTCTCATTAAGTAGTTGAGTTGCTTCTGTCACCCCATTTACTGATCTCCTGGAGAAACTACTGTGAATTACATACAGACTGCACTTGAAATATTTGGCCTTCCTTCTCCCATGACTGCATAGCAATGGTTTCTTCCTAAGTCTATTCTGAATACTAATTAAATATTTACAAAGTACTTCAAAATCCTTGGTGAATATTAATATAAAAATAGCAATAGCAATCTATATTCATTTGAATAAATGGAAATTTTTGCCCTTACATATCAAGGGCCTTTAAGTTTAATTCAAATCAATTCCAATCACTGGAGAACAAAAAAATAAAGTCAGGTGCCTACCATGTACAAAGTCTTGTGTTAGATGTGAAGATAAAAGTAAATTTTTCCAGGACTATAAGATGTATCAGAAATTGAGATATTTCATATTATTTAATTCCCATCAATTTTCTGGGGGCTGAAAAGTGAAAGTAGGTGCAAAATTCTGACCATTTTAGTGTTAAATGATTGCATTGCTCCTTAAAACAGGAAGGTCTGTCTGGTTGCACAGAGATGTGGTATTTCCTATAACTCACACATTATTTCACATTTTTTCATGAGATGTTTTAAAGTATTTTAGCATGAAGTTTCCATTTATTGTATCCAAAAATAAAAATAGCATCAAAGTCTTTTTGCAACTCCCAAAACACAGTTAGGGAATAATGATCATATGCTAAAAAATGTGAAATGCAATTTGTGCTGTGCCCCATTTACTACAAAATCACTACGAACAATGCATTTTGTACAGTATATTGCTCCAGGGAAACTGGATCAGCATCAAGAATGAATAAAGAACGTTGCATTTGAAATCAGCTAATTCTGCTTCAGTGCTTTTAAAAACTATTTGTTACGATATTACTTCCTGTCAAGCACATAATGTGAGATTTTCCTCAATAAAGCTAAACAGTTGCTGTAATTTCAGCTTCCCTCATTTTCCACTTTTTAAGCACTAAATATTTAAACAATGCAGACCTGGAAGTCTCAAGCCAGTCATCTGCTCCATGCACCTCCCCGCCTAAGGTGCAATAAGGACCATGCAGAAGGTTGCTGTCACGCTGATATACACGCTGCAGCTGTCCAGACTCTTACCTGACCACAGGCCAGACCCATTCCTCTCTCTCCCATGCCATGGGGACAGGACAAATTTAACTCCAGGGCGTCTGCTCCAGAAGCCTGTAAAACAAGGGAGAAAAGTGAACGAAAAGGTAAAGCTGTTAAGGTACCAATAGGCCTTCACCACTGATGATGGAAGTCAACATTTTCGAGTTTTAACTGTTATGTTTCCTGCATCAAAGCTATCTGGTGAGGTATTTTCTAACTCTCAAATTACGGCCAGAACAACAATAACATCAACTACAAAATATTTACTGAGTGCAGGTGAAGTGCCACCCACCAATCTCCATGCTTTGTATTTATTTTCTCTGATTCTCATGGTTTTGCATTATTAACTGAAAAATGGAAAGGTTAACAGAAGCCTGTGACACAAGGGAGACTTTAGCTTACCAGACTGATAGCCCATTTACTCTTTCCTTAACATTTCTTTTTCTTTTTTTCAATAGAAATAAACGTTACTAATTCTGGTTCACTGACACTAGGTGTGGACAAACAAACAAAAAACCGCAGTAGGCTAGCTAAAAATCAATTTTACCATATTTAAAAATAGCCCATGCTATGACACATGAAGTATTAATAGCTTTGTATAGCCTTAATAATTAAATAGGAATCTTTATTTGAATAATTGATTCCTTAATATATAAATGAATCATGCCAAAATGAACAAAACAGTTTACCCTAAGTATCCGTAGGATACTTGGAGAATATTAAACTTTTTCAGGAGTCTTTTGAAAAAAAAGTGCTTTTTAAGAATAAACAAAACACATTTTTATCTGTGTAGAATAATGAGATATTCCCTGTACACTGAACAATTCAAGATTCAAGTTTTATATTCATTTATCTGAGGTTCACCTATCTTTGACTATTTCTCCAATACCATAATTTCCTTCTAAGTCAGATCAGCTAGACACTTGTAACAATTTCAATAATATTTTAACAAGTCTGTCACCTCATATAAAGGCATAGAAATGTTCGCCCTGATCCGAGGACACCAGATCTTTCGTCAGGCCAACAGTTGTTCCCAAACCGTCTGCTTCCTACTTCATTGTTCAAGATTCTGGCCTATTTTTGCTCCTGCTTTTTGAATTTTAAGTAGGACCTCATGCATTGTAAGGACTCACGTTAGCTTTTCCCCACTGCTTTCTTGCCCATCTCTCTTCACTAATGAGTCGGCATATTCATCTGCATATTTGTGAAAGTCCATTTGATCATTCAGACTGTTTTCTAACAAGGTCTCACTATGGTTTCTGCTTCTCTAGTCCAATTTTAAAATGCTTCATGTTATGTGAAAATTACTGTAACTCATGCTACTTTTTTTTTTCCTGTAGATTTGATGGAAAGCACAAACAAAGCACAGATTGCTGAGCTCTGAATTCTGATCTCAGATTTCTGCAAAAGAATTGGGTGTTCGAGTAAGTGAGTTATTGGAATCTAACCACTCATTTGTAAACTGCAGATGACCTGTCTTGTCATGTAGGCTTTGAGAGCTTAATTTAAGATTATGCATTCAACTATAGGAAATACTGTCCTTTTCCTAATTTTTCTAAGCTATGTTAAATATGTCCTCTAGTTTCAGGCATTATCGTGCAATGCATTAAGTCTCTAGATGCTGAAGACATCTGTATCCTGAATTGAAAGTGAACCTTGTTTCAGTCCTGTCTATTTTGCACTTCGATTTCAACTTCCTGCTAAAGGGACTGTGAGACAGTGGATGATGGTGCAAGAACTCAAGAACTTGGGTTCCCTGCTACTCATAAGAAAGGCTAAAGTGGAGTTCCTACCTCCTGGATTTTTCTTGGCTCACTAGTGCCAGGCAATCATTTGGGGAGAGAATTAGTAGATAGAAAAACTCCCTTTGTCTCTCCCTCTTTCTCTCTGCCTTTCTATGAATAAATGAACCTAGAAATTTTATTTTAGACTTCTTCATGCAGCTGAAATGCAGCAATTAATAGCCAATATGTTCAATGATGCCATTTTACATACATATCTACATTATGCATATTTCACTGCAAACTAGAAGTTGACTAATGGTGGATAATAATAGTTAACAATAATTGAGCACTTATAATATGCCAGATATTAAGGCACTACGTATATTATTATCTTTACTCTAAGAAGTTAGATTTGGAATGATTTTTTTTAGCAGTCAATGAAATCAAGGCATCAAGTCCAAGTGACTTACTCCACATCCTAAGTGTTACAATTGAGAATTGGGTCTTGAACCAAACAATTTTTCTCCAAAAAATGAATTCGTATCAACTATATAATTTATTGGAAATAACTTATTCCAGGGACTTTTTACAATATGTTAAGACCCAAACAGGTTGACATTCTTATAGCTTATAACCTTGAAATAAAAATTAAATTCTTATGGCCAGTGTTGCCTCATAGCCATTGAAGGCAGTACGTGTGATGCCGGAATTCCACATCAGGGTGCTGGGTTTGAGTCTTGGCTATTCCTCTCTCAGTCCACTTATCTTATTAATGTACTTGGGAAGGCAGTGGGGAGTTGTCCAAGTACTCAGGCCCCTTCAATCCACACTGGAGTCTAGAATAGAGTTCCTGGCTCCCTGGTGTTAGTCTAGCCAGACATTGTTGCTAAAGGTCATTTGTGAGGAGAACACACACACACTCTCACACACACACACATCCTCATTCTCGCCCTCTCTCTCCCACCTTGCCTCTTTCTGTCTCTTACTCTCTCTGTCACTCTGCCTCTCAAACTAATTAATCAAAGTATTTTCAAACTACCCATTGAATACAAAGTGTCACCAGTGACTAAATATTAAAATTTCCCCTCTGTAACACAAATGGCAACACTCACTAAAGGACACACCTGGAGAGGCTTTAAAATGGACCTGTAGTCTTAGGACACTGGAATAACGGTGTTCAAGTTTACACTAAGAAACCAGAAGGATGCTTAAGTGGTGTCTATTTGAATATTCCTGTCACAGGATCTACCACATCAAAAGGCAGTTAATTCCATTTCCAAGCAACTCTATCCATTCAAAAAGAATCAAGTGCTGAATTAGCATGAAATGTTAAATTAACTGAAACTAGGCATGCATTTTGACTCCTGTTCATCACAAGCTTTTTAGTTTAACAATTTAGCTGAGAATTTCCTCTACCTCATTTAAATGTCCAAAATATAACCACCCAGTGAAGGCAGTGACCTATTAAAATGCTGTTTTAACTTGCTACGATATTTATTTATCATCCTTCTATGTGTAAGAAATCCTGTGTATATGTGAAGCATGAATTCTACTGCCAGAGTATATGGGCTTCCATGCTACCTTGACTACTGGCTATATGAACCTCACAGCTGATTTTACTACTTATCTCAGTTCCTTCCTCTCAAAGAATGTGCAAAACAATAGCACTAATTGGTCAAGTTGTACTGAAGTTAAATAAAATCAATAAAATAAAATGACTTGGAGCAATGCTTGGAATGTATAGTTAATGCCATGTAACTAAATACTGTCTAGCAAATATATCTAACTATCTACCTACCAATGTGATAATCTCAATCACAAACTTACTCTTCTCCCACCTACAGTAGAAAAGGATTTAAGGTGTCCACACTGCATTACATTATCTATACCTGTGTTTGGAGATGAGAAAGACACGAAAACAAAACTATTCCTGGCTAAATTCTCTAGATAGCTACATAAAAACTTACACAAAACTCTGTGAAAACCACAAACACTTGTACAATATGTATGCAAGTACTAAAGAAAAATGAGTTCATGTATAATGAAATTAAAGGATTAGTTCAGTTTAAATAATTTTGAAACCTATGCACAAATTGTTCATAATAGGTATTTTATATGTACCTTCTGAAGATCCTTTGTACAATAAAATTAACTCTAAAGCTGATCCTTCTTTCCTCCCCTTACTTACTCCCTCCTTTGCTTCCTTCCCTTCCTGATTAAAGTAGATCTGAAGCATTGTTGGGTAGGACACAGCAAAGTTGGGGAGCACAAGCTTGAGGTCCCACTGAGATGAGCACCTCGCTTCCGAACGTTTTACTTTGACTCTGCTAGGAATAGAATGACCATTTGATTGTGGTGTTCATGCCTCTCCATTGGATCTTACTGTCATCAAAACAAGGAGGGTCAGATTCTTGGTCATCCATCATCAATGAGGCCCCTAGTTTACAACCTTGAGCCCTAGGTCCTTACCACCACAAAATCTTTGATGATAATAAAATGCCATTTTGTCTCTAATGGTTTCCTTTGTGTATCAAATTGAGCTCTGGTTTTGTTATTGTTGCTGTTTGTTTTTGCTTCATTCAACATATATTTGTAGGTTGGCAAAGAAAGCCCTGTCTTTGAATGTAGGGTTAAGCAGTGAATCAGAGATTTCCACTTGCATGGAGCTTGCAATGTAACATACAGAATAAAGTAACTATGAGATTAGCAATGTTATCATTGCTAACCACTGCAATCTGTTAACCAGATGCTATCAAGTAAAAGCACAGGAGAGATGCAGATTCAGATCTTGAGGAACCTGAAGCTTAAATAATCTTGAAAACTCTTCTTAAGTGAAAAGAAATTTAAAATTAAAAACTGAAGACTAGGTAAAAGAGCTTGGAAGTGGGGTGTGTTAACAAGGGCAGTGAAGTTTACACTTTATTCCTTTTATAGTAAAGACATTTGGATCCAGGATCTTTTTTGAGAGAGGAAGGTAGGAAGGTTAAAGTTACCTAGTCAGAGGGCTCCAGATTAGGGCACAGAGAACATCTGAGAATAAGGAACAGTCTTTCACCAAGAAATTTGTTGGAATCATTTTTTTTTTTTAAGGATGTGGGGGCTGAGATGAAGGCAGAGAAAGTCAAGTTAGCACTGGAGAGGTGGGGATAGGACAACTTGTTGGTCAAATTAAGGGTTTTTAACTTAGAAAACATGGAACAATCCTGGAATGATTGAGAACAAGAGAAGTATTAGTATCTGAAATAACCTTGGGTTTAAAGTGGTAGTGATGCATATTGGATTACGTCCAATTCATGCGTTTCTTAGGATTAAATGGTCTCATCAGTCACCCTCGCTTTTCCCATTAGCTTCAAAGGGGAGCACTAGTCCATGCTGCTATTTTTATGCCTCCTGTAGTCGTGAGCTCTCATGGCCTTTTTCAAAGTAAAAGCTGGGCTTTATCACAGACAGCAGATCCAAGACAACCAACGTCCAAGAGTAGCCATGAAGTCTTGCCTCTTCATTCTTTCCTAGTTTACATAAGGCATCACATGACATGGTACGGGATGAGCAACTGTGCAAAGGGGATCAGACATGTAACACAGAAGTTCAGGGGAGAGTCCTGCCGTGTGAAATTCAGACTGGAGAGACAGGAAGAAGTCCAAAGACACTCCTTACCTGTCCTTTCCATGCAACTGCTATGAGAAAGGACAATTCCCCTTGCAAGCCCTGCTCCACAAGGCTAAGCCATTGGCTCCATAGCCTAGTGAAATTGTGGCCAGTTCTGTAATTCACCAGAGTGCATTTGCTTCCTCCTCTTTATTTTTATTTTTCCTCTATCCCATGGGTTTGTCATTGCATTCTTTGATAAGGCTTTTGCCCAAGATTGATGCTTGTTTTTTCTAGGCTAATACACAATAAAAAGAAATGGATTTAAAGACTGTTAAAATGTTTTTAAGAGTCTTAAAGCCTAATACTGTGAGCCTTCAACAATGACTCAGTTTGGTATATGAGTAAATTTCACAAGTTTAATAGAAAATAGAATTAAGACATACATTTATTTTGGCCACCAGAATTTCAGAATCCTTACAAAATTCTCATGATATGCATTTTCTCACGACACATCTGATGAGCTCTTTAGTGAACACACCTTTATCATTGAAGCTATATTTTACTCATCTTTGTTTTGGTAGGTCAGGGACTTTAAACATAGTAGGTACTTCATATGACTTTTTTGCATGGGGCTAAAATAGGCTATCAATGTCCCCGAACTATAGGAAATCCTATACCCAAACACCTGGGCCAGGAAAGTTGAGCAAGGCCTAATGATGTGACTGATTCAAAAACATGCTGTGACAAACTCTTCCGGAAGCTGTTTCTTTTTAATAGTACTCAGAAAACATGACAAGATCACACCAGGTTGAATAATACATAAGAAGACATCACAATCATGTGCATTCTAAGATTAGACTAAAAAGTAAGTTGTGACTCAGTAAGCTTTTATTTCTAGGTGAAAACATGTTTTTCATGGAAATACGTCTATAGCAAAGCAGACACAGCGGACACACATTAACTTTTACAAGCAGCGTTTAGTTGTTTCCTGCCGTCTAATGCAGCTTCCAAAGGGAGGTGAAGGCCTGGGGATATTTCCTTCCTGTGATGTTCCTGGACTAGTCCAGATTTAAGATTATAGGAAAGATTTCATTTTAATTGACATCATCTGCAGATTGACCTTTTTTACATGTAAATTGCTCTCCTGTGGAGTGTTTTCAGTGACTATTTTCACTGAGTGAAAGGTAGTACTCAGTTCTCTTTTTAGTTTTTTGCTCTAGAGTATGTAGAAGCTGATATTTTTCAAACTGTAATTAAGGAGATATATGGAATGAGAAAATGTTTGTTAAATAATATGTTTACATTTAAAGACTGGTTTTTTTTGATATTTGAAAATTAATGTCCATTACCGAAGAAACTAATTTTCTAAAGCATCTTATTCTTGCAGAAAGGCAGGGAAGCAAGCAGCACGATAAAGCCATTTATCATAGTCAGCTTAAAATTGGCAAAGCTCATGCCAAGCATAGGCTCTGGGGAAGATTTCATGGTCAATTAGGTAAATACATGTACAAAATGGACCCAACAACGAAGATCACGAAGCCAATTACTGATCACGTTTAATTTCACCCCTCCATGTCCCAGAAGTCATTTTTTTCCACATAGTTTAGAAATATTCAGATAAAATATCCAACAAACATTCTAACTTAGAGCTTTATAATATTTTATAATGTCAAGTCAATTAGTTTCTAAGCCTTGTTTCAAATAGTCTCCTATGCAACACATAGAATTTCAAGAATTCTCAGCTATGGCTGTGCAACACTTTCCATGCCAACACGAAGGACAAAGTGCACATATGTGTATATTTCTATCTGACATAGAAATTTAAGGAACATAATGTTTGTATTTGAGCAAGATTCCATTTTTACTGATGAAAACCTGCTGACTAGTGTTCTATTCAGGTGTTTTGTCCAACGATTTTATGCATGGCTGTATTCAAACTGGAATAGTATTAAATGAACCTTTTATATTTTAAATATTCAAGAGTTTTATATTCAAAATTTCTTCACTAACTGTCAAACTAGTTTGCCTAAAGGCAAGGTAAGATCAAGTTAGACTCTCAAAGGTAGAATTAAATTTTATCATGGCATCCATCATAATATACATTTGCTTAATATGCAAATAGAACATATGAATTCAGAGAATAAAGGACTTTTGAGAGTGCATGAAATCCAAGGGACTGCTTTTATACAGCAGATTCTTTTTATATTTACATTTCCATCATCTTAATGAAAACACAGGGTAAACAAATTATAATAAAAATGTTTTAAGCTACACTTTCAATTCAATTTCCCTTCAACTGTATTAGTTTTCATGGTAGCTCTTTATTTAAAACTAATGAAAATAGGAGAGAAGACATAAAATAAATAAGCGCACACTGAAGGAAGCATTACCTCAGCCTTTTTGGAGAGTTCCATCCAGTCGTTTTTGTTGTAACTGCACATGATGCTGGCGATCACAATCTTAGGAAAGAAAAACATGAAAGAACAGAGGTTCAAGCAGTTACGCTATAGTGCACGAAGATAACAGGTTACATTTTAATCAAGAGCCACATGATAAAAATTTATTTTAAATTTGTTGAAAAATAAACTGTTAAACAGTAGCAACGTGTAATAGTAAAGCACAAAGCCAACCCTGGAGACTCCAGACACGCTGTAAAGGTTCATTAAGTATCTGAACAATTGAGCAAGACAGTTACCTTTGTCTGATCCTTAGCACTCACAACCTTTAAATGGAAATCATAAAAATACTGTCTTTACTCTCCTCAGAGATAGGGAGGCTGAGGGAGACACTGAACAACCTGGACATAATAATTCCCATATCACAAGACCTACAGGTTATCAATTTCCTATTTTTGATTTGAATATAAAGCAATTGCCTGCCTAGACCAGGTTCATATCAGTTTAAGGGGGCCAAAGCTGAACTAGACTGACCTCTGGTCTATTATATACTCATTGTAATATCTTAGGATGTTAAATGATGTACCTATAAGCCATCATGATGGGAAATATCTGATTATAAATGGAGCACCAAAAGGCTACTGCTACAGTCCAGGAAATGTCTATCAACTTCCTAGGTAAACCAATATTCTTACCCTTTAGTAGCATATATTTTCCTTTTATTACATCATATCTCCCTTTTATTAAATAACACGTACCATATTAAAACACTTCAGTAATTGCCCATGTTATATAGTATGTGTGTCTTCGCTTTCTCAATCAAACACTTGTTGATTGCTGCTTGCCATCCTCTTATACACTTACAATTCTTTTCTTGAGGCCATCAGTTTTAAAAGATTTATTTTGTTTTTATTGGAAAGTCAGATATACACATAGGAGGAGAGACAGAGAGAAAGATCTTCCATCTGACGATTCACTCCCCAGCTGCAGCAATGGCCGGAACTCTGCTGATCCGAAGCCAGGAGTCCGGAGTCTCTTCCAGGTCTCCCACATGGGTGCAGGGTCCCAAGGCTTTGGCCATCCCAACTGCTTTCACATACCACAAGCAGAACACTGGATGGGAAGTGGGGCTGCCAGGATTTGAACCGTTGCCCATTTTGGATACTGGTGCGTGCAAGGCAAGGACTTTAGCTGTGAGGCTACCAAACTGGGCCCAGCTCTCAATGCTTAACATAAATTATATATTGTATGCATGTAGAAGAGTTGTCTAAATTCTTCAATTCCACAGCAACATGTATGAACACAATAAAAATAAACAGTGTCTCCTTTAATGACAAATTATTTAACGGTTTAGATAACAATTCTTTACAAATACATAATTTATCATGACTTCACATTTTTTTAAAGATTTATTTTTTTTTTTATTAGAAAGGCGGATATACAGAGAGGAGAGACAGAGAGGAAGATCTTCCATCCGATGATTCACTCCCCAAGTGAGCGCAACGGGCCGATACTATGCCGGTACGAAGCCAGGAGCCTCTTCCGGGTCTCCCACGCGGGTGCAGGGTCCCAAAGCTTTGGGCCGTCCTCGACTGCTTTCCCAGGCCACAGGCAGGGAGCTGGAAGGGAAGCGGGGCTGCCGGGATTAGAACCGGCGCCCATATGGGATCCCGGGCGTGCAAAGGGAGGACCTTTAACCACTTGCGCCACTGCGCCGGGCCCCATCATGTTTTTTTATTAGCATCTTTCCACATTTAAAAATATTTTACTTTGTTTATTTTATGATATAGTTCCATAGGCTCTGGGGTTGCCCATGCCACAGTCCCTCCCTTCTTCCCATTGATTTCCCCTCTAGTTTTATAAAGGATGTCCTTCATGATCAGTCATGAGATTGAGGAGACATAGTCTGAGCCAGGCTGAAAGTCAATGAAATTAATGACAGCTCCTTTAAAACACATCTTGCTTGGGTTGGGCATTGGTATCCATATTCCATAATGGAGTGCCAGTGTAAGTCCTGAGTACTCTGCTTGTGATTCAGCATCCCATTAATTCATCAGAAGTGACAAGATGATGACTCAAGTGCCTGTGCCACTTGTTGCACTGTGCCGAGAGTTAGACACTCAGATGGAGTTTTGGGTTCTCAATTTCGGTCTGTCCCGATTCTGGGTGCAGTAAGCATTTGGGGACTGTACTGGCAGATGGAAAAGTCTCTCTCTCACTCTTGCTCTGCCTTTCAAGCAAACCCATTGTGCTCTTACCATATGAATTTTCTGTGTCTTCACACAGGGAAAATGAAAACCAAGGTTATTTTGTAAATGTCATATAAGTGTTTTCATCCTTGATAGAAGAAAAGTTGTGATTATATCAGAAAAAGCTCTGAGAATCAGAGAAACAAGCCTGTCTTCAATGTTGGGTTAATTTTCTCTCTTGAGGGGCAATAAGCCCAGGCACTGGGACTATGTTATTTCACTCATCAATTTACAGAGGATAAATATATTGGGATACAGCATAGAGCTTGGCAATGAGTGACCACATTGAAAAAGTTCATCCAAGATTTAGGAGCAGGAGTTGCCTATAAACTTCACTTTCAAAGGGTTAAACATAAATGAATATCATGAGTTAGAGAATGGAAAAATAAACAATTTGTGAAAACTACTGGCAAGTTACTGGATGAGCTGGAGAGATGAATAATCAAAGGCATTAATCTCTGGTGATGGGAAATAAGACTCAGCTGTTAAAACACACAGGGTTGCAATTGAAAGGTGGAATCAAAGGATCCAAGAGAACTGGAAAGCATTAGTCAGATAAAGAAAGAATAATAATCAGAAACACAGAAGCCAGAAGAAGTGGCAGGCCGGGATAGAGGTTTTGCACAGAGGAAAGTGCAGACGACACAATGAGAAGAAAAATCATGCATGCCTAATAACTATTGGTTGGGTTTAGCATTCAACTTCTGTCTAGCGAGGCTGCTGCTTTTGAGAACTGGGGAGAAAATAATGTGAAATGGTTTATTCTGTGGCCTTTTCTCTAGGGGCAAAAGGAAAGTGAAAATTCACAACAGAAACCTCATTTGTAAGCAGAAAAGGGTCATTGGCATAATTATTACACTTCTTGCATGGGATCCAAGAATTAAGGGATATTCAGTCCCACACTGCAGCTAGAAAATGAATTGGGAAGAAACATCAATCAATGAGGACATCAACTCTTCCAGGACTGCAATTGCTTCCTACTAGTGTAGGTATGGACTCCTTGCATGGAAAAAAAGTACACATACAAAGGAAAAATCCAATGAAGCCTGGGGAACACAAGGCAGATTTCCATGGTCTTTGTTGGCTTTGAGGCATCAATCAAGCAATGAAGAAAGGTGGTCAATCTAAGGAATTAGGGAATGGGTAAAGCCTTGTTAGTTCCTGAAAGAAACAGGAAGGAGAGTGAGAGGTACAAACGCAGAGATGGATAAACTGAATTTGGCCATGAAACACTGGTTCTGTGGTAAAACTGACAACGGATAGAAGTAGCTTTTATGTATTTCTTTTTAAAATTTTATATACTTATTTTTCTTAGGGCATTTTGCTGTTTAAGCAAAAGATACAAAACAAAAGCAGTAACATGTATTGTGGAACAGTGAGGTATCATCCCATGTCAGAGCGCCTGGGACCTCTGTACCGATCCAACTTCAAGGGAGTTAGTAGGGTCTCTGACATCCATGTGGGAATCTCAGATGGAAATCCTGAATCCTGACATTGGTTTGGGTTTAGTACTCGTTGATTCAGGCAAATCTGAGTGTGATCTGGTATATGAAAGATCTCTCACACTTTCTCTCCCTTTTTTGTCCCTCTGACTTTCAGATGAATAAATCTTAAGCGCACACAAACACACACACACTCCTTGATTTGCATGCACTGGGATCCCACATAGCGGGTCATGTCTTGCCTGCTCCACTTTCCATCCAGCTCCCTGCTTGTGGCCTGAAAAAGCAATCAAAGAAAGGACCCTGCATTTACATGGAAGACCCAGAAGTTCCTGGTTCTCGGCTTTAGTCCAGCTCTGCCCCGTCCATTGTGGACCTTTGGGGAGTGAACCAGTAGACAGAAGATCTTTTCTCTCTGTTTCTCCTTCTCTCTGTAAATCAGCCTTTCCAAAAAAAAAAAAAAAACCGAAATAAAATCTTGATCAATTTGTTCTGTCTTTCATCCTCTGCTATGGTACCAGCTGTCCTCTGCAGACTCCAGTGCACTGCCATATCCTCAATGTCCACTGCTCCATCACAGCCATCGAAGAGGCCCAGCTCTGACAAATGCACTCCATGGTCAGACCATGGAAAATGCAATTCTCTCCATGGTTGTGGTTCTGAGTCCAGCAGTTCATTTCAGGGGATTCCCAAAGTGTTGGCAGTGTATATCTGGGCACACAGAGACTATATCAACCAGTGGATATAGGTGTACTATATCAACCAGTGGATTTTGGAGAGATTTCATCATGCTTGGAGTGGTAAGATCAGCAGTAATTTAGAACTGTTGAACTACAAAAACCTCTTGAGCAGGGCCCTCAGAACATGCCCCACATTGTTGATCCTAGAATAATGTCAGGTGACTGTCCTCCTTCCCAGGGTACAGAGATGTTTAGAAGGCTGGGTATGGCTTCTCCCCTTATTCCCCACTTCTTCCCCCCAAATACAGGAAGGAGAAAAAGAAAATGTGGAAATAATGATCTCATCCACCTTCCTGCAGCCCTTGACCCTTATCATCTTAATTAACTATGTAAAAATCATTTTAAAAAACCAAAACACAAAAAATATATAAAATAAAAATTTTTAGGGCCCGGCGCAGTGGCACAAGTGGTTAAGTCCTCACCTTGCACGCCTGGGATCCCATATGGGCGCCGGTTCTAATCCCGGCAGCCCCGCTTCCCTTCCAGCTCCCTGCCTGTGGCCTGGGAAAGCAGTCGAGGACGGCCCAAAGCTTTGGGATCCTGCACCCGCGTGGGAGACCCGGAAGAGGCTCCTGGCTTCGGATTGGCATAGTATCGGCCCGTTGCGCTCACTTGGGGAGTGAATCATCGGA